AAAAAAAAAAAAAAAAAAATTCACTTTAATGGTCAATTTCTATATAAAACAAAGTCAAACGAACACTAAAATTTGATTAAAAAAATGATTTTTTAGAAAACAATTTTTTTCCTTTTTTTTAAACTTTTTTGCAATTAAAACAAATTTTATAACCAATTGTGGAAAAAAATATCACTTTAATGGACAATTTCCATACAAAACAAAGCCAAACGAATAGAAAATTTAAAAAATTTTCCGGTGAAAAATTATACCAATCAAATACAATTGAAATCATTTTCCTTGCAAAATATTTTCTAGGCAAATCTTTTCCATGTAAAACATTTTCTTTCCACCCATTTTCCACTCTTGCAATCACATGCACCCTTAATGTGCAAGTTTTTTAACTAACAAGTTAGATAATCGATAAAAAAAATAATTACTTATAAGTAACTTTTAGGAACAACCAAATATTCTCCAAATGATTAATCACGCCAAGTTTGAAATGATATGCCTCGACACAATTATTAATAAATAAATTAATGAGCTAAAATAATGTAATTTCTCTTTTAATAGTAAATATACCAACCATCAACGTGATGAACATGTAATATTTTAAGTATTAATTAAGTTGATTAACCTTTTTACGGTGAGAATTAAAGAGATAATTGAGTCGGGGTTTATGAATCTAACATACGAATTACTTGACTATTAGCCATATTTAAACCTCGTTATTTAAAAATTTATTTTTCTCAATTTTTTTTTTAATTGCACATTTTTTTAATAAAATAATTTGTACGTAGGTATATATAAATATACTCAAAACAAAAAGTAAAATAAAATAATAATTAACGAATAGTTGCACAAATGATGAGCTGTAACTAACAATAATTGATTACCCACTAAGCTTCACCTTCGCCCTGCCCGCGCAGGTTAAACGAAGGTAGGCGGTGAATCCTTGCCGAGGTCCATAGAAGTTTTAGAAGACGCCGGGAAGGCGGCGTACCTGGACGAGAAATTCCTTGACATATGATAATACTCATCCTCTTCGTCAAAATTACCGCTCTGCCCCGGACCCTCGTCGAAATTCATGGCGTAACTCAATGGATCGTATTGGTAATCCACATGCTTGCTATTCCCGCTCCGGTTCCGGTTGAACCTCCGTATAAAAGTCTTCCATCTCGGACCGGCGACGAGTTCCGACCACTCTCGAATCTTCTTCAGCGCGGTGACTCCACGGATCCACAGGGAGGTATTTCCAATGTTCTGCGTTCGGATTTTCCACCAGGTTATTCCTCCGCCGTCCGGCGATGAGTTAACAAAGCACGGTAAGGAGAAACAACAGTGACTTTTCTGAGAAAGCGTATCGGATTCTTCGTAGATTGTGTCTGCATATTGATGCGAAAATTCACGAGTCTCCATAGACATCACGATTACATATACCTATATACGAACACGAACGGGTCTTTTTGTATGTCTATGTATGTGAACCTTATAGAGAGAGTTGGGGGCGGGGGGGGGGGGGGGGGGGGGGGGNGGGGGGGGGGGGAGAGAGAGAGTTGGACAGTTTCTCTCTTTATATTGTAGTGTTCGAACTGTGTAGAAGAAGAGTTGCAGGATATAACGGCAAAGCAGAGACGGTATAATATCCTAGGGGTTTATTTCATAAATGGTCATCAGAGTTTGAATGAAATTCCAAATTTGTCATTAAACCATTTTTGTAAAATGATACAAGATAAAAAAACTTCACTTTCAACGAAAAAATTCGAACCTACTCTATTTCACCCTACATTTTTATTCATCATTGATGGTAGCTAGGAGGAATTGATCACTTTAGTGGATGTTACTTCACTTGAAAGTTTAATGGTTCTGCCACAAGTATATCACAACTTACAGATTTATTTACAAACAGATGATATGACGAGATTTGATCGTGTCAAAATCTCATCAACAAAAAAAAAAAAAATAAACAGATTTATTTACCAACAGATGATATGACGAGATTTGATCGTGTCAAAATCTCATCAACAAAAAAAAAAATCATTATCACTTTCTTTTGACACCTCATCAAGTCATAAAAGATCGTGTGGATGGTGATATACAACAATCATTTTTCAAAGTTTAATAGCCATAACATGTTTGAAGAGTGATTAAATAAAATTGAAGTAACTTTAAGTTGTTGATCCTATAAAATATTTGGATAAGAAATGAATAGTAGTTGTAACTCCTCTAAAATGTGTGAATAAAAAATATGTTTAGTCAGATATAATTAAATTATAATATAATCAAGCTAACAGAATGACTCATTGTAATACTAGTTTACTTTAATAACTAAGTCCCTATTTGATGGGATTAGAATTGAATTTTTTATAAATTTTGATAAAAAGTTAATAAAAATATGTGGTTGAAAATTTGTGGATTTTATAAAATATGTGGTTAATAATTAGATTTTGATTTAGATTAAAATTTAAATTTTAATCCATACCAAACAGGGGCTAAATAGGTCATAAAAATACTTTAATGACATATTTGAAATTTTTCTTGAACTTCAAGAACCATTAGTGAAATTAAAATCCGTTGACGTTATTTCTTGAAAGACATGTTTACCCTCGGTGGTGGGATTGAGTTAGCATCGAGGGAAAAGGGTGTATTGGTAAAAAGACCAACAAATGAAGATTGAAGCGGGGTTCCAGTGCTAGTGATATTGCCTGGGGTCCAATTTCCTATTACTTTTTCTTTTGGTTAAAATTAAAATGATTACATGAAATTCTTGATACATAGTTGTGATAGTTTAAGGGAGTGACCTCAATTGAGATTGTGATGGATTTTAAAAATCTTTCTAAATTTAGGTATCCTCAATCGAAATTTTAATGCGTTTTAATGAAATCCATTAAAATTTAGGTGTTCCTAATTGTGATTTTAATGAAATTCAATGAAATCCTTTAAAATTTAGGTATTTTCAATAACTATTGAAATTATAAAGATTTCATTAATAGAGGGTTTTTAAAAGATCTGAATAGATTTCAAGCTTAAAAATACATATAAACAAATCTTTTGAAATTTCATCATATTTAATGAGATTCTTATGAAATTTGTAAAAACCTATTCAAATTTACGAAATTCATTAGAATTAATAATCTTTTAAAATCCATCAGAATTATAGTTCAGGACATAAATTAATTATAGCGATAATCCTATGTTGTTTAAGTGATCTTCTAAGCTATACTATACTCAATGATGTTGTATTTTTATTAGATTACAAACCAATGAATAAAAACTTTCGTTTCCCTTCTACAAGGCTCCTCCGGTGATTTTGGGGGAGTGAAAAATACTACATTCTAGTCTTGGTCGAAGGATATAAAAATCGATATCATTTAAATATTTACGAGTATCATACACACAAAAGAAACTATTACAATAGCAATAAACAATTAATGACATATTTAGCAAGATAGATTAGACAATACTAAAACATTATTGAAAAACAAAAGGAAGTAATTGAACTATTTAGTTATATTTTAGTATTTTTTACTAGACGTGTTCTAAAAATTAATTTAAAGTAAATTTTTCCTTTTAATTTACGTGGGGCTAAAATCATTTATATCATCACTTTCGAAAAACATATTCTATTTCAATTTTTTAATTTTTTGAAGTCAAGATTCTTAAAATTTATAGTTCAAAGAGCTCAACCAAAATAATTATACTCCCCCGACTTATAAAGATAGACTCGTTTTCATTTTTACACAAGTTAAGAAAAAGTAATTAACATAATTAAAAACATAAACTTTTCTTACATTTTTTTCTAGTATACTTCTACATTAAATAGTGATTTAAATAGAAGTAATCCATATTTATTGATAACTAGTCACAGTTAAACGTGCGTTGCATGTTATTTTGAAATACTTTATAAACAATGTAAAAATGATATTTGAAAATCACTATTTATACAATTCAATTATTTGAAAACATTGTTTATGTAAAAAGAACTTTTTATACAATTCAATTATTTATTTACATGTATGATAATAATTAACATTAATTTACATATATCATACTATAATTCAATCAATTAATTCTTCAAGTTCGTGCATGTACACTTTATATATTTTGGGGGCTGTTCAATTACTCTAGAAATATTACAACTCAATTATTTATGGATATATTAAATATAATATTAAGTAATCAAGTTCTTGTACACATGTTTTGGGAGCTATTCAATTATTATAGGAGTAAACAAATTATTCGAGTTGAACACATATTTATTTTCAAAATTATTCATTTTATCATAAATTATTCTACGAGTATGTAAATTATTAAAGAGCATATAATTTGAGAGCTATTTAATTATTATAGGAGTAGATAAATTATTCAAGTTCATGTACATTTATTTAATTTTAATATTATTCATTTAATATATGATATAACGCCATTTGTTTAAATGTATATAAATTATTCTTTTTCTATATTCATTTATTCAAATTAATTAAAATTTCATGTTCATGAATCAATTTGATTGTTCTTGTACAATTCAATTATTTATTTGCGTGCATATTTAATAATTAATGTTCAATTAAATATATATTGAAAAATGAAAAGTAAGGTACTATTGAAATAATTAAATTGTAGTAGGGCTAAAATCGATCATAAAATGATTATCACTTGATGTGATATTTAATATATTATAGATAAAATACATTACATAGGAGTATATTAGAAAATTAAACGATTAATTATACTTTTAATAAGAGAAGTAATTTATAATTTGGCGAAGTAAAAAAGGAGAATAAATCTATTGTTATGGGATGGGGTGAGTATTAGGAAAACAATTGAATATGTGTTTTATGATTAGCATTGATTTATAAGAAAAATGATTGGATAGGATTGGCTGCAGCCACAGCAGCGCCAAATAAGTCGCAAAAGAAATAGTTCGATCAATTATCAGACAAAATCCGTGATGTCAACAGTCAACTAGGGAGTGCAAAGGGTTGGACTAACCACTAAATATCTACCATTTTTCAATGATATCTACATAAAGAAAAGGAATTCTGGTATAGCAGACTGGTCTATAGGCCAACGCCCCCGGCTTCCATCAACCAATCAGTTGAACTTGGTTGACCGGAGTTCTATAACTATGTATTCAAGGGTGAAGACTTTCCGACGAACGAGTTAATCGGAGTCCTATAACTATGTATTCAAGGAAGAAAATTATCCAAAAGAATTAAGGATGTCAATTCAACTCATCGGCTCGAGCGGCCCGCGGCTTGAACCAAGCAACCTGTTTCAGGCAGGTAGTTGATGCCTTGCAGGCAGCCTTCAGGCCTGCTGCCTATCTTAAAAAGAAAAAAACTTGAGTGGCTCAACTCGAGCAAAGCCTCTGTTTTTTGACAAATCTTCGGCTTGAGCCGAAGAATTCGACCCATTTTTTGTCCCAGCCATAATCTCAGGTTCTCGAGCAGGCTCGATCTGGCTCCTTTATATCCCTACAAAGGATGGAAAAGTCTACCGTCCAATAAAAACTTATCAAATGTGCAATTATAGTGACATCACACTTTTATTTTGCTACACTGCTTGCACTAAAAGTTTTTAACTATCGCTTATTATTATTATTATTATTATTATTATTTGTCACGTTTTTATCATTAATCTTTTATTAATTAGCATATCTAACTTTGAAATGAGGAGCAAATGTTATTTTTCTATTTGTTATTTTTTTCTTATTTAAAAATATGAAGTGCAAATAAATATTTTTACAGTTTCTTAATTGACTTTTCAAAGAGAAACCTAACCAATGACAATATGCTAATTCATGGAAGGTTGATGATAAAAATGCGATGAAAAAATTATTAAGAAAATAAGTGCAAAATACGTAAAAGTTAAGTGATGAATAATGCAATTATCCCTACAAAATTACCCTCTAATGTAACCTTTCAGCATGTACTAGAAAGACAAAAAAGGTATTCAAATCAAAATTGAAAAAAAAAACAAAAAACTCTCAAAGTTTCAACAAATTACTCAAAACTCACTGTATCCTAAATGAAATAACGAAGTTCGACCCAACTAATATCTAGAGGGGGAGGGGGCGGGGGTGAATAGATTTTTATGCGGAATTTAAATTTACCAATTAATAAATGCAACAAGTCACAGTTATTAATTAATCCAGATAAATTCACATGCACAACTATTATATGTTGAATTACTGCAGTTAATAAATTATTGAAAAATAAATAACACTTGAAAATTGTTGACAGAGAAAACCCGTTATGGATAAAATTTCGAGCGCAAGCCAGTAAAAATTTACTATAAACGAATCAACTTACAATACTGTCAAACTCGACTAACTCTAGTACTTTCTGACATCCTGACTTTAGCCCACCTGGATTGTGTGCTCTTGTACCAACTCCTGATTTTCTGAATTCGTTTAT